TGATGACAGTAAGTATGTTACTATCAGCAACCTGCTGGCTCTGACTTCCTCCTTCTAACATGGAATGTCCAGTTCCTCAGCAAGGAGAACCTTCCAGTTGCTTTTGGTTAAAGTACTAGATCCCTCTCCACATACTAATCTTAACTGTGTTGCCCTTCTGTATCTAACACCTTCCTGTGTATCGCTGGAGATCTGTGTTACTCCCATGTTAAGGATTGAGCAACTCTGTGCTCTGAGAACATCTTAAATGACACCTCTAGAATTAACTATTCTGGCACTCACAGGACATGATGTTATTCAGTAGCTATTGGGCCGAACCAGGAGGCAGCTGCACACAGCTTCTGAGCTGCTTTGGTGTCTGAACTCTATGTAGTGTAGTCACATCCTCTAGAAGTAAAACACTCCTAGCACTAGCTGCTGCAGCAAAGTGAGGGTTACTGTAGTGTACAAGGAGTTAGTTAAGACTGCATTGCAAGAGGGTTACGTGCAGTCCTTGTTTGTAACAGGTTAACATGTGAATGGCAGGAAAACCAGCTAGTAAATTACAGTTTAAATAGTGAAGTCATGTTAGATTTCTTTATTTATTGTTAATTTTTAGGCAGGTTTTCACTCAGTTTGGAATCCTATTTATGGCTTTCTCCATAAGCAAAATCATAATGTTTAAATTGTAGAATCCCAGCCTGGTTTGGGTCAAAGGGACTTTAAAGCTCATCCAGTCCCAACCCCTGCCATGGGCAGGGACACCTTCCACTAGAGCAGGCTGCTCCAAGCCCCTGTGTCCAACCTGGCCTTGAACACTGCCAGGGCTGGGGCAGCCACAGCTTCTCTGGGCACCCTGTGCCAGCACCTCAGCACCCTCACAGGGAAGAGCTTCTGCCTAAGAGCTCATCTCAATCTCCCCTCTGGCGGGTTAAAGCCATTCCCCTTGGCCTGTCCCTACAGTTCCTGAAGAATCCCTCTGCAGTGTCCTTGTAGGCCCCCTTCATATGTTGGAATGTGGTTATGCTCTTTCTCATAGCAGCTCTGCTGTGTAGAAAAGGCTCCTTAGGAACACTTGGAAGCTTTGGCTGGGATGCATTGAACTTGCTGTGTGTTGTGGGCTCTCTGACAAGCGTGCTGTTAGTGAAGCATCCAAGCTCGTGAGTAGGGGATATTTAAGTAGGAAACCCCTTTATCTGAACACAAAGAGCTCAAGCTCTGGTATCTTTTCTAAAAGGAAGAAATTAGCTGCCAAGATCTTTCTGAATCATTTCTGAACTCTGAATCACTTCTGAACTTCAGAAGTGCTGAAGTATATAGAAACATGCACATTCCTAGAGACACCTAGGATAGGTTAAAAAAGGCCCGTGAAACCTATGGATGAGAGCACTGAAAGAAGTGCAGACAGGACTGAGCAATGCTTTCAGAGAGGTGGAAGCTGTGTTTGGCTTTGAGGGCTTTAGCAGGAGTGTCAAACTGCTTCTAGTTACTATTTCTGCTTTCCAAATAGTATTTCAAAGAAGCTGGTAGATTCATGGAAGAGAAATGACCAAGATGCAAGAGCCAGTGTGAGGCTTTTAGCAAGTGTCATTTGTGCCATTCTAAGACTACTTGGCAGTTTCCAAGGACTTCTCAGAGGTGATGGAGATGGAGCTTGTCTGGTGGAGGAGGTGGTAATAGGTTGGTGAATGCTTTGGAATGGAAAGTTACTACAGAATTCAGAAAGCTTCAAAGTAATATTCAGTTCTTCTCCTCTTGCCACCTTCCTGAAGGGTCTCTCCTGAAGGACTTTGCTGGGAGCAGCACTGGGTGTGTGTCAGTGGAAGTAGCAGTAGCAGCAGCAGCAGAGGTGCCTTCTCAGCGATCCCTGTGCCTTGGTTGCCTGGTCAGAATGCCAGTCCGTGGTGTTCAGGGTGTTCATCACACTTGGCCTGGATGTTGCGAGACATCTGAAGCTGAGGTTAAATGGGCACTTCCCTTGAATCTGGAGTGGAGCTGGATCCAAACAAACCACCCTTCTGGCTTGTGAAAGGCTGAGATTTCACTGTGAAAGGGTTTTTCTTCCTGGCTGCTCCTTGGGTTTAAGACAATAATTGGTTAAACTGATTTCTGTTTTCAGAGTGCAGGGCTGTGCGGGTTAAGGTCCTGTGCTGTGTGAATCTTACACATCTACTGATACCTGGGAAACTCCTGGTGGTTTTCCTGTGATTAGCCACAACCTTCACTGCTGGGTTTCTGCTGCCCCTCTGTCCTCTTGTTCGGGGTTTCTTGCTCTCCTGCTACAGGTGGTGGGGACTTGCTGTGAAGCTGTCTGAACCCTTTTAAAATTGAATGAACACTACATTGGAGCACATGGAACCCAAGAATGGTTTGGGTTGAAGCTTCAAGCTCCTCCAGTTCCCACCCCTTGCCATGCACAGGGACACCTTCCACTAGAGCAGGTTGCTCCAAGCCCCTGTGTCCAACCTGGCCTTGAACACTGCCAGGGATGGGGCAGCCACAGCTTCTCTGGGCACCCTGTGCCAGCACCTCAGCATCCTCACAGGGAAGAGCTTCTGCCTCAGAGCTCATCTCAATCTCCCCTCTGGCAGATTAAAGCCATTCCCCTTGTCCTGTCCCTACAGGCCCTTGTCCAAAGCCCTTCTCCAGGTTTCTTGTAGCCCCTTTAGGCACTGGAGCTGCTGTAGCATCTCCCTGGAGCCTTTTCTTCTTCATGAACCACTGTCTTGATTTCCTGACTGTAGAAGGTAGTTTCTCAGGGGCTACCCAGTGTCAGCAGCTGCAATACCCTTTGTACCAAGCCTCCTGCGCTAAACAAATGCTCTTCTCTCCTTGCCTCAGCAGGGCTGTTCCTGTTGTGCTTTTCCTCCCTTCCTTGTCTGAGCTCACTCCCAGTATTACGCTTGTACCACCTGTAATTACAGCCCGCTCATGCTAGAGTAGAACAAGCAGTGCCACTGTGGGCCAGAGCTACTCTTGGCCAAGGCACTCCTGGAAGCTGTAGGCACCAGTTGCAAGTTAAGAACAGAGCTGCAACTGTGGCTTGAAGACTCACCTTGCAACAACTGGAGCCTTGTGTACAGCTCCCCAGAGGGAAACTTCCCATGGTACTAGCTCACAACTTCTCTGTTACATTGGTGCTCCTTGCACAGGCTGATGTTAGAGCCTTGGGAGAACACCAAGAACTTCCTGCTGTGCCTCATGCAGATTAACAGCTTTGATTGTTTTCCTTGTGTTCTGCAGCATAACGACATTCTCCACAAACCTTCTGTATTACCACATTAAGATGTTCTCTTGGACAGATGCATACGAGTGAGACTTGATTTTTGTCCATTTAACCTGAAGTGTTTAACCCTGGTCCCAAATGTTGAGTGGAGACCATCAGTCTGGAATTCTCTTAAGCCTTGTGTTGCTTCCTGCTACTTTCATGACATCTTGAGGCCTCTGTGGAGGCCAAGCTTCAAGATTCAGTCAAGATACCACTGGCTTAGGTTACATCTTTACATGTGGTATATACAAAGCTTAGGCTTACTCTCCATTTGACTATAGATATGTGTAGGAGACATCCTACCTAAGAAAGATGTGAGGTCATGCTTGCTCCACAAGGGCAGTTGTTGGGAACAGGGCCCTTTGATTCTGGTGCTTCATTGGAAACCACAAAGTTGAACTCACAATTTTGAGGGTGAAAAGGTGACTCTTCACTGCGTGGATGTGTTTTGTAGGGGGGTGTTTTGCAGGGCACATGTGTTGAGGTACCACACCAATCTCAAAAGTGTGGAGCAAGTGGCTGTGGAGTGTTGGGTACTTCGCCCTCTTTAATTCTTTGGCTTGCTTCCCTGCAGCCTTTCAGAAGGCTTTGTTTTTAAAATGGGCTTTTCTGTACTGCTTTGTCTGGAAGAAAGTAGTTTGTTACTTGAGATTCTCCAAACTGAAGTAAATATTTCTCTTTTGCAGTGTTCCATTGGCAAGCTACAATAATGGGACCAGTAAGTATGAGAGAATTGATGTTCCTGGCTCTTTCTGATTAGCCGCCTTGTTCTAACTTCTCAAACCTGCAATGATTCTTTCTCACTAACAGAATGACAGTCCCTATCAAGGTGGAGTATTCTTCTTGACAATTCACTTCCCAACAGATTATCCCTTCAAACCACCTAAGGTGAGTGCTAGAAATCTGTTTATTTCTTTGTGGTGTCATGTATATTTGTGAGCCTACACTGAAATTTTCCTTCTTCTGCAGGTTGCATTTACAACAAGAATCTATCATCCAAATATTAACAGTAATGGCAGCATTTGTCTTGATATTCTACGATCACAGTGGTCCCCAGCACTAACTATTTCAAAAGGTACCTCCAATGTTCGTTGACTTTTACTCTGCTGAAATGATTTACTCACTTGGATTTAGAATGTAAAACCTGCTCCTGTCTCCTGAGTTCCATAGTCTTGTAACCTCACCTCAGGCTCTCAATACTTGTTACTTCAAGCCAGAGATTAAACTTGGCCTTTGTCAATGGAAGATTGCAAACCAAGTAAAATATAGAGGGGAACAGTTGTGGCTTTAAAAAAACAACACTAAAGCTGCTTGATTCTTGGTTATCTTAAGGAGAACATCAGAAGTCCCTGATGGTCACTTTCTAACAGAGCTTTCAGTGACAGGGACTACTAAAACACATGTTAAAACTTAACTGGCTTGCACTGTCTTAATACTTAGCTAACAACATCTTGGTCCCTGTGAACTCTGTTAGCTTGTGGGGCATTGGAATCCATCCTTTGCCTGCTAGAGCAGGGTTCATGTTTAATGTAAATAGGAGGCTTTAAACACCTTGAAAGAAGACCCAGGTTTGAATTTTACTGATTCCCCTTCCCCACCCCCCCCCGGCTGTTGAAACTGTAGATCTACAGTTTGTAGATTGAGCTGTGCCTGTTGAGCATTAGTTTTGGGTCTCTGTGCATGGACCATACCTTGAGCATTCTATTTCATAGCTTCACAGTGTCTCTATAATCAAATACTGCCAGTTATGCCATTTAATTTCAGTATCCTCTTCATGGTGTCTTAGCCCTCTGAGGCTGTCCTATTGCTTTTAATTCTTCTCTCCAGCCACATGTGATGTTCCTGGAGGCTTTTTGGTTCAGACAGATGAGTCCTGGTGCACCTCTCCTGAACATCACAACTGTCTCCCTTTTATTGAGTTCAGAAGTTCCAACCTCCTCTGTCCAGCTAAAGAATCAGTTTATAGAAATAGATGGAAAGGCAAAATAATATCTTGCCTTGTCTGACATCACTGAATCTGCTCATGCATGAAGCTAGAAGTCTTTACTGTGAGTTGACAGAGCTGTAGAAGTGTCAGGAAAGGGGAATGATTGCCAGGTTGGCACAGCTTTCCTTACAAATGCTTCCTGTCAGGTATTGGCTACTGTTGGAAGCATTAAGTTAGTACTGAGTCCTGCCACCCATTGTTTTCTGGTTAAATTGCCATATAACTGGTTAAAATGCCATAGTTGGAGGTGTGTAATCTCTCTTGCTTTAGAGAGGCTGAAACAACTGTATAGGCATGTTTGAAGATACTGGAAGATTGGAATTAGGAGAGTTGGAAGATGGGGCAAGAACTTAAGAGGCTAGTTAAGGGCATAAGTGGGCTGCCTATGGATGTCTGTTAGCTTTAATCCTGGAATGGTTTGGTTTGAAGGGACCTTAAAGCTCCTTCAGCTCCAACCCCCTGCCATGGGCAGGGACACCTTCTACTAGAGCAGGTTGCTCCAAGCCCCTATGTCCAACCTGGCCTTGAACACTGCCAGGGATGAGGCATCCCTCACGAAATAGATCTTAACTTTAATTCTGCAACCCAAATACAGTTGGGGGTGTGCTTTTAACATCTCCTGTTTTCTGCCTTGAACTCTGTTTTATCCTCCTCAAAGCTTATCCTTGTGGCTTAGTTGGAGTAAGCCATGGGATCAGTGTGGCCTTTCTGTGCTGCTTCCTTTTAAATTACAGTGCTGCTTCATGGTGGAAAGACTGAGAAGTCACATCAGTGCTACTTCATCATCCCAGTGAAGTGGTAAAGTGGCTGCTTACACTCTGGAGGATGGTGGATTGCTCCCAAGGGCATAGGCTTGGGAACCTGCCCCTTTTGGTGGCAGAGGTAGTGCAGGCCTGAGCTTGGGGGCTATGAGCAGTTCTATTTCAGACCACTAAATAAAGAAGGAACTTTCCCTTGATCAAGTTGCTTACAGAGGGAGAGCTCTTAGCCAGGGTAGTAGAGGTGACCACATCTCAGGGTCTTGTTCTATCTCTCTAAATGTTTATCCCTTCTAGTCCTGTTAAAACAGGTTCTCAAGCATTGGGAGTCTCAGTAGAATAGCTAACTTCCTTGTATTAACTCTGGAGTAAGTGTTCCTTAAGGAATACTTACTGGAGAATAAATAATCTCAAAATACAGCCTTAGCCACACCTTGGTGGTTAATTTAAACTCCAAAGCTTAAGTGGAATGTGTAGGCTTAAAAACGTTACCTTAAAGTCTGCATAAATAGGAATCTCTTTTGCCTTTAACAGGAGAATAAAGAGGTTTTACACAACTGCCACTGTTCTCAGCCATTTAGGGGGAAATCCTGCTTTCTTTTGTATTTGGCAGGTAGATGGGCAGGAGTTAATACTGAACTCAAGTAGTTCTACAGTAAAGATCCGGCTGACTTACTCTGTCCTGTCCCAGTTCTCCCCACTGTGCTTTATAACTAATGAGCTTGTGTGGAGCTCACACTGTTCAAACTCTTCCATGCCCAGTGCAGTGGGAATTCTCTGTGGTGCTGCTTTTAGAGGTGTTAAAAGTGGCTTTACAGGGCATACTGGGTGGGAATGCCCAGGTACCCAGGAACCTGCCTGAGCTTGCTTGGTATGGCTTTGTCACATCATAGCATGGACCAGTCTCTCCACATGTGCTGAGTTAGGGTTCTGAGGGAAACTTTTAATGCTTGTAGTCAAAATCTCTTGCAATTTCAGTGTAGCTGCTTGTGTGGCTGCCCAGGGACATTGCCCTTGCTGGAAGGGAGGCTGCCCTAAAGATGGATGGAAGTGATCCTTCCCCTCTGCTTGGCACTGGTGGGGCACCTGGAGCACATGTCCAGTGCTGGGCTCCCCAGAACACAACAGGCGTACTGGGGAGAGGCAAGTGAAGAGTCATGAACATGAAGAGACTGGATCATGTCCCATTGGAGGAGATTCAGGGGCTCCTATCAATGTATAGAAATACTTGAAGATGCAGGGATGACAGAGCCAGACTCTGCTCAGTACAGGGTGACAAGGCAAGAAGTAATAGGCACAAACTGAAACACAGGAGGATCTGTCTGAACATCAGGAAGCTCTGAGCACTGGCACAGGTTGTCTTGGGAGGTTGTGGGGTGTCCCACATTGGAGATACTTAAAAGCCATCTGAGCATGATCATGGGCAACTTGTTTTGGCTGACTCTGCTTGGGCTGGGGAGGTTGGACATGGTGATCTCCAGAAGTCCCTTCCAAGCTCAACCAGTCTGTGATACACTGGGCAAAACTTAACTTTTCTCTCTTGTCACCAGAAATTGTTGAACTGACTTAGCAGGAATTCAAGTTGCTGTGAAGCAAGAAGTTTAAGCTGCTCAGATTTAAAGGTACACTTCTGTAAGAGTAGATAAGATTGCTGAAGGTGTTTGAACTGGGGCTGTGATTAAGAAATAGGATTTAATCCAAGCAGAGTCTGGAGCTGCTGGAGGTTTACTCAGATGCATCTTGCCCATTCATAGTCAGAAGCCACTCGTTTGGTCCTTAGCACTTGATCTTGTTGGGCAGTGCTGTGTTCAGTCCTGTTCTAATGGTACAAGCTTCATTTTTGTCAGCACTGGTACTTTGACAACTCTGTGCCTCAAAAGCTTCAAAGGTCTGGAGCCTGGAACTCCAAAGCAGCGATTGTAAAGGCAAAGACTTTCCAGGAGTTGGGATTCCTGGTTTTGTGGGGTAGAGATGTATGTGGTAGTGGTATGTGATGAGGAGGCTTTTGGCTGTCAGGCTGCTGATGGTTAGCAGAGGAGGAGCCTCAGCTGGGGTGAGAAGTAGGACAGCAGGATAAAGCCTTGGAAACAGAATTAAGAGTTCCTCAGCAGCAGGATGTGTCCCAAGCTCAAATCTGTGCTAGCAGAGATGTTTCATAATCTCCAGAGCACCAGGCTCCATGAAACCTGAGCTGACAGACCTTGTTACTTACGTACTCAGAAACGTGGCTGGATGAGCTGGATCGCAAAGCCCAGCTCTGTCTGTTGGAGCCTGGGGCCTGGTCTCCAGGGGGGTGACAAATTGCTTTCCATAGAAAGAACTTAGTGGCTAATACTTGTCATACTTGTCATTCACCTGGGACAGAGCAGGCAGGATGGGCTGCCTCAGTGCTGAGAACTGGTGATACTGCCATGATGGTGAGGAAGTGATGCTGCCCTGTTTTATCTGGCTGCTCCATGGCAGTGCACGAGCTTTTGGTTGTATGGTGAGGCACTGGTATAGAGGAGCTGTGGCTGCCCCATCCCTGGCAGTGTTCAAGGCCAGGTTGGACACAGGGGCTTGGAGCAGCCTGCTCTAGTGGAAGGTGTCCCTGCCTGTGGCAGGGGGTTGGAACTGGATGAGCTTTAAGGTCCCTTCAACCCAAACCAGTCTGGGACGATTGTTACTTGCCACCTGCTGACAGATACCCAGCCTCACCCAAGCAGTGGTTTGGCCCTTTTGGTTAAGTTCCCCCCAGTTTCTATACTAGGCATGCTGTGCTGTGGTATGGAATGCCCCTTTGGCTAGTTTGGGTCAAGTGTCCTGTCTCTGCTCCCTCCTGGCCTTTTGTGCCCCTCCTCACTGGCAGAGCGTGAGAGACTGAACAGTCATTGATCAGGGTAAGTGCTACTGAGCACAACTAAAACATCTCTGTGTTATCAGCATTAGTCTCTGGCTAAAGCCAAAACACAGCTCTGCACCAGCTACTAGGAAGAAAATGAACTCTATCTCAGCCTAAACCAGGACAGCATGATTGGGAAGTAAACCAAAGCAAAACCAATTCTGGAATGAAAGGGAGCTTTCAACTGGTGATGTTTTAAGCTGCTTAATATTTTGTGGCAGACTGGGCTGATTTGACAGTGAAGAGCAGAGAAGTCTGTACTTGAGCCTATGGGAAGTAAAATTTATCTGGTTTGCTAGTACTGACAGAAATGGAAACTTAAATCCTGAACAGGGCACACTTGTACTGCTGTGCCCCTTCCAGTGAGACTCAAAGGGATATTGCCCAACTGCTGCCACTGGAGCAGCTTCACCAGTGGCCATGCAGGATGAGAAGGACAGGGTGTAAAACAACATCGTGTACTCAGGTGGACTTGTCCAACCTGATCCTGTGGTTAGAAAATTTGATTTGTGAACTATTTAATTGTCACCTTCTAATGCTGGAGTCATTTGACTTGTAAATGTCAAGGCTTTGCAGTGGAATTCATTGCAGTAAGACTTGTTGCAGAAGGTGGTGGTCTGGTGACTCTATACCGTACTGCTTAATTAGTTACTGTGATGCATCAGAGAACTCCCTATACACAGCTGACCTTAGTAAGGATTACTTCCTCTTTCCTCTTGCACTTGGCTCCTTAAAGTCTGTAAGTTACCTTGTTACAGGGGGTTTTTGTAGTGGTCTGGAGGCTGAATGTGTTGGTTGGTCTGTAACACACATACATGTGCAACACTCTACTGGGAATCCTCAAGAGATAAACTTCCTGAATATAAGTTGGACAAATAGCTGGGCTCAGCAGGCTTTTAAACCAGTTTAGATAACTCAGTGTTTTTCGTGCTGAGTCTATACAGATAAAAAGGGAAAGATGTGAAAGTAAGAACAGTGATAATGGAGAGTCAAACTCGAAATGGTTTGGTTGCAAGGGACCTTAAACCCCATCCAGTTCCAACCCCTGCCACGGGCAGGGACACCTTCCACTAGAGCAGGTTGCTCCAAGCCCCTGTGTCCAACGTGGCCTTGAACACTGCCAGGGATGGGGCAGCCACAGCTTCTCTGGCCAGCGCCTCAGCCCCTCAGCACCCTCACAGGGAAGAAGGGTTTTGATTAACGAAGACTTAAAAGACTTGCTGTGCCCATTTTTTATTTAATGTTGGGAGTGATAGTACTTACAACATCAGTGAACTGCTGAGGAATGAAATGTTTTTTGAAGTGATTAGATTTGACAGAATTCATCAAAGGAAGCATTTAGCTGCTGGTTAAGTTCTAACAAACCACAGCCTGTTTCTTTTAGTAAGAAGTACTAGTGATGTGGGAGATCCTTATTTAATGGCCAGCAGGTAGCAAGAATACACTCAGGTTGATACCTGCAAACCAAAAACTAAACCTCCTAGACTGGGACAGGGTTCTCTCTCTCCTTTTCTGCCCCTGTTTGAGGCAGACTTGCATCTTGCTAGACAAAACTGGCTTGTAGGCAGCATCATCTGCTTCTCTGGAGGACACAAAGCAAGGCCCTGCTCCTCCTGGTGCCCATGCTGACCAACAGCCGACCACCACCTTGTCTGCTCAGTGCTTTGAGGAGATGGTGGGGTTTTGTGAGGCTGATGGGAGCTGCAAGAGCAGGAACTCCCATCTGGCACCTTGAGTGATGGGGGAAGGGGCAGGATGGTAGTGAGGGAGGACAGGGAGGTCTGGAGAGACTCACAGCTTGGTTCTGCTGCTGAAGGGTGAGCAGTATCATGGCAGGAGGTTGGAACTAGATGATCTTAAGGTCCTTTCTGACGCAAACCATCCTGTGATCTTGTTCAGAGGAGTCCTTAGCTGTTCAAGGACTGTGGTAAGATAAAACTTGAGGGAGAGTTGAGCAGAGCACCTTGGGTTTCCCTGTGGTTTCTGTTGAAGGGAAGGGATGGATAGTAACTGTTTCGCTTGCCCTACCAGCTGAAGAAAGTTCAGTGACCAAAGCAGTGCAGTCTGACAAATACAAAGAAAGGAGCTACAGGGAAATAGCTGAAGAAATGACAGTTTTGAAGTTAAACTATGTGGCAGCAGCTGGGTATAAGATGGGACAGAGATTCCCATTGCTGAATGCTATTGTGAGTTTTACTTAGTGTACATGGAGGGAGAACAGTGCTGAAGCTTCTCTTCTGAGAAGCAGCTGAATAAATGGTCTTAGTGGCAGTGGATGGTAGAGAAGAATGAAACTCATAACTCTCGAGTGTGCAGTAGGCAGTGAGGAACAGGAGGAAGAGGAGGTTCTTCATTCTAGAACAAGAGATATGTTCACTGAAATAAAGAACAGTTTATTACTAAACTTGTTCTAGAAGCTTTTAACATGAAGTTGATTAATTCATTAGTAAAGGGACTACAGAACCCTTCAGGAAAAATACCCTTTGGAAAACCAAACAAAAGGTCCTGGGAGCTCCCATCATTGCACAGTGGAACGTGCTTTTTGTCCCACTTCAAAAATCATTTCTACTTGCAGTGAATCTCAGACCTCTTTTCCCCCTTCTCTCTGACTGTTCTTTGGCTTGTGCCTTCTGTTCTAACCTACCACTAAAGAGTTACGGGGTGGATGCTGTTCCCTTTCATTCTCAGCTGCTGTCTTTCAGCATGGAGCTCTGCCTCCTGCTCTGTAGCACAGTAGTAAGTGATGGAAGTTGAGCAGATTTCTGTTTAGTGCCTTCAAACTTTGAACTGCTGTCATATCCAACTTGCTTGGAGGATGCACTATGACAGCTCTGCTGTTCTCCTGGTGGTGCAGGCACATATGGAGTGGCACTGTTTGCTTTTCTCTCAGCCTGTTTTAATCAATACAATGAATGTTTGGCATTTCTTGGGAGGGGGGACGACAAAGATGTCCCTGACGTGCCTTGTGGAGTGTTGTCCCAATATGCTTTCCTTATAGCTTCCTGCCTTTACTTTGGTGTGAACGTAGGAATGTGCATGTGCTATTTGTGGCTTTGCAGGCAGCCTCCTGACTCCTTACATGGAGGAAGGTTGATGCTGTGCCGAGCGGGATGTGGCTTCTGGGATGCAGACAGCACATATTTATAGTGGAACTTGAAAGTTCAGGGCTTTGTGGTTGGCAGGAGTGCAGTAAGCTATGCTTGCTTGATTCATTTGGAATACTATAATACAGTTAATGCATCTCAACCTTTCATATGCTCAAAAAATAATTGGATAAGGTCTCTTAATTCTCTGCAAGATAAGTGTTCTTGTAGTTGTGAGCAGCTCATGCCTCCTTCATCTCACTTGGACCTGGCTACTTCTGCAGGTCATTAACAGTGAGGTGGTTTAGGGAGAAACTGAATTTCAGGTGCAAAACCAAGGATGTTTCCTGGGGAGGCTCTCAGCTTCTGCCTTGTGCTTTAAGGCTGTACTCAGCTACACGTATCTAGGAGGTTACCTGTTGTGGTGATAGCTAAAAACTCATGGCCATGCAAAGTTGCCCAGTGAAATGGTAAGGATCTTTGTTCAGAATCACTTGGCTGTGTATGTGGGATCCCTGTTCCTTGGCTATTTGAAGTGATGCTAACTGATTGCTAGAGGGAAAGCCAGTGCATGGGCTGACTTCTGGAGGTGTCTTCAGTTGCACTTAAACTCTAATTCAATCTCTCTCTCTTTTTCCCCCTAGTACTTTTGTCCATCTGTTCTCTGTTGTGTGATCCCAATCCAGATGATCCTTTAGTGCCTGAGATTGCACGGATCTACAAAACAGATAGAGAAAAGTGAGTATGGAAGCCAAAAAGCATGTAATGTGTGACAGAGCAGAACCCATACTTCAATAGTAAATGGGAACTGAAAGGACCTGCCACTGGGAAAGGAGTGCGAACTTTGGTTTGCCTTTTTCACTCTAACTGTGGTCTCTTTAGAGGTGTTTTTCTCCCTCTGGGACTTGTAGTACCAGTATCTTAACAGCACTGTATTGTTGTAGGACAAAGGTGTATATGCCAGGAGAAGTGAAGGGTGTGGAGGCGTTGTACTTGTGTGGTTTTATTGCTGCATCTTTGTTCCACACAATGGTCTTTCATTAGTGTTGTAGCAGTTAATTACAGGTTTGCTTGATTTAATGAAAATGGGAAGTGAACAATGCAAATCTGTTTGATCTGGAGCTCTGAGGTGAATGTGACCAGCTTTGAGCCTTCCCTGCCTGTTGTAATTCCACATAACCAGCAGAGGGAGAGCAAGTTACTCCAGTGGGAGACTATTTCCTTGGTAGCTATTGGTGATGGAATCACACAGGCAAAGGAAGAACAAAAATACCATTTCATCTTCATTTGACAACACAAGGGAAGAACAAGTGGTGTAGAGATGGGTTAGGAGGGCTCAGAGCTTCTCTGGAGTAAACAACAAGAGTAGACAGAACTCTAGTGCTCTTGAGCACTTGAAAAGCACCAGCTTCCTGAGTGTTGTTTATACCTCACTGTTCCCTTCCAGTTGTGATCAGTAGTGTTTAAGTTCTGAAGCTACATGATCATCTTAGGAGAACAAGACAGGGAAAATGATCCACAAACTTGCTTACTGCATACTTGAGAAGCAGTGTTAGAGAAGTTCATGCAGCCTGGTTTTAATGAGAGTTGCAATAGAAGCAGTATGTATTGTGAGGCGCAGCTGACAGTGACCGACAGAACTTAATGCATGCAGGGCTTTTTCCTATTTTTTTCCTGGACATTTAGTGCTTAGACATGAGTGGACTTGCTTCTTGAGTAGTCTCTTGAACAGTGATGTGAAGGCAAGAGCATTTGTTAGTGTGTCCAGTTCTTTAAGCTAAAGAATGTTGTGTACAGGCTAAATCCCAGCACAAGAACCTAGCTGTGCACACAGCTGGGAGACTTCTTGCCTAAGTTCTGCTTTTTCTTACTCTTTCTTAGGCTTTTTATACAAATCCTGTAGAATAAGAACACTTGCCTTCTGTTGCCAGCAATAAGCTTCTAGCAGTACTGCTAATCACAGCTGCTTTGTTTTACACACAGATCCTGAGCTTCCTCTAGTAGTGTCTCTGGCTCTGAAGGGCATTTGAGTGGAAAAGCTACAGGTGATTTAGGAAATGGAGCATATTGTGCCTTCAGAATAAAACCAAATTCTGTTGGACAAATCACTATATCCTCATAGTCATCAAAATGGCCAAATTCACTGTGTAGCAAGAAACAAGGCTGCTGGGGTTTGGCAGCTGGGTAGATACCAGGAACTGGGATTTAGTTTGCAAGGGAAGAAGAATGAGGTGGGACACATTAATCTCTCTTCCCGAGTGTCAAAATTAAACCCTGCAGTAATAGTTTCCCCAGGGATGCAGTGCTTGGGGGCTGGAGAAGGTGCAGGTGAAGACTTCCTGAAGATACTCAGCTCTATTTTGTGGCTGGAATCACAACCATCTCCTCTCCCTGTTGTGAATGGGACTAGTTACTACTTCTCCATGAAATACTGTGGGCTTTCTGCTTTCCCCTGTTTGCCTAATGTTTAGTTTGCTCTTCAGTTTTACAAATTCATGCTGGAGAGAGTGTAAGCTCATGGCATGTGTAGATTGCTGAGTTGAAATGCTGTTCAGATGCTACGTTGAGTAACTCCTCTCTTTGTACATGCAGGTACAACAGAATAGCTCGGGAATGGACTCAGAAGTACGCGATGTAATTAAAGAAATTATTGGATAACCTCTACAAATAAAGATAGGGGAACTCTGAAAGAGAAAGTCCTTTTGATTTCCATTTGACTGCTTTCTATGAGCCCACGCCTCATCTTCCCCTGTGCACATGTTTACCTGATACAGCAGTGCTGCGTGTTGTACATACTTGGAACAACAAAATAGAAATACTGTATTTCCCCGTATCAACATTGACTCCTAGCAGAGAAGTGTGTGTGTGAAAAGCTGGTTCTTCAGTCATAACTTTGTGAGCCTAAAAGCATTCCCTCTCAATTTAAATTGGGTAGTAAAATGTGAACGAGAGAGTGATGGCGGAGTTCAGATTTCTAGGGACAGTGTTGCTGGTCCGTGAAGGATTTTAAGTGGAATCCTTTTAAACTCATAACAGTTATGAAAAGCAAGGTGAAGAACTTGAAGCTGTTTCTGTATTCATTTTATTCTGAAGGACCTACACCTTAGGTAAATGTTATGACCAATGAGAGAAACTGTACCCACATCCTGTGTTTAAGGTCTAAGTTTAACCGGTCACCATTTAAATGGATTGGAGCTATTAGTGCATCAAGTGATGTTGATTTGTTTCAACTCTCTCCCTTCCTTCATACTTCTTTGGGTTTGTATGTGGTTTCTCAGTTAATACCTAGCTAATAGCTCTTATTTTTTTTTTTTCTTAAGTTTTTTAACTGCTTAGGTCTTTCTGGATGTAAGGGTAAAAATCCATTTGACAGACAAACTTGTGTGTATTTAAAGACCCAACTGCTCCCCTGGAGCTTGTACGTTCAAGAATGATTAATCTGTGTAATAAACTGATTACTACAGTCATTACATATAACTTTGTGTGAATAGGCTTTTACTTTTAAGAGCAGTTTGTTACAGGCTTAAAGCAAAATGGTGGATTTCTAAACTTCTTGCGTTGACCTTTGGTTGAGTTTGAAGGCGTGAAGCAGCTTGGCTTGATCCCCACGTGCACCTGGATGAGACAAACATAAGCTTGAGCACTTCCATGAGACCAGGATGTGCCCTGTGCCAGGAACCTGACTGTTAAACCAATTCAGCAGTTCCCTAACTGAGAACGAGTGACATTTTACAGAGCCTAATGGTATTATTCCCACTTGCATGGGACCTAACACAATGCATATGTACTGTAGGTAAGTGAAACCTTATGTAACTAAAATAATGGATGTAAAAGGGTAAAAAAGAGAAAAAAAACCTACCAAACACATCAGCACAAACTTTCATAAAATGTAGCTTTTACATAATTACTTTGCACTAAACATTTGCAAATGTTCATTCAGTTTGAAATTGTACTTGTATGTGTCTCTCTTTTTTTTTTTTTTTTTTTTTTTTTTTTTTTTTAAACAAAGTCTTCACTTGAATCTAGTGGAAAAAAATGTAGTTTGGAACTTTTTTTTCTTTGTATACAAGTGTATTTGCCAGCAGCGTTGGTGTGACAGTAGGTGAGTCTGCAAGTTTATCTCCTTCCTCTTAGTAGAATTGTGAACAAAGCCATCGACTGAAGGAGAGGCTGTAGCCTCCAGCCCTCCAGCCACAAGGGTCTGTCCCACCCATTTCCAACTGCATCTTGACACTCTTGCACAAACGAGGAATAAATGTCCACTGCTTTTGGTCTAACTCTGTTCCGCTTGTCTCATCTCTCAATGGCCTCGTGTGCTCACCGTTGGATGTAGGTGTGAGCAGCGTGTCCTGGAGCCCTCTCCCAGTGAGGTGGAGTGAGCCAGGAGCTGTGTGCTCCAGTGTGTGGGGATGGAGCAGCTCAAAGTGGTGGAGCAGAGCTTCAAGTCAGGAGAAATGGAGCCTATGTTCCCTGGTGGAGTGATAACAGAGGGATGGCAGCTACAGGGGAGGGGAGGGACACTGCGTGCAGGAATGTCAACCTGGGAACTGGGTCACTGTAACCCACCCTCAGTGCTCTTGTGCTCTGCCCCAAGGTGTTGGTGCTTTACTGGTTTGGTTTAGAAGCAGCTTGTGGCCTGTTGAAGTGTGGCCCTGGATCAAAACCTGTTGTGCCAGTAGCAGCTAGAGTGTGAGCTAGTCTAGTGCATCTTGCGTTTGTGTTAACCTTTAACCATCCCTTGCCTTGCCTGATACTAAACTGCTAATATGCTAATGCTCCTGCTAGAGCCTCCCTGACCAAGGAGGAGAATGCGCATCAGCCGTGATGGAGGTGTTCCCATGTTTTTGCAGTGGGGTCACTAGGTCCTTGCTTGGAGAAGCACAGGGAGGATGGGTTGGGGTGATTGCCAGCCCTCCAGCACAGTCTTTTTGGTCGATTCCACTTATCTGCTTTACAAGCGAGTCACCCAAGAACGTTTTTGTGGCAGGTTTGGCTGGATTTTGGTGTTGGCAGTTCCTGGAGAAGATCAGAGAATGTACAGGAGGGAAA